CCCCCCCCCCCAAGCGCCGAGAAGACGCCCGCACACTTGTGCCCGCCCGCCCGCCCGCCCGCCCCCCGGACATGAGGACACACCAGCACCACACCGGTGAAGGGCGCCAAAGAGCGGAAGGGACCAAAAGGACACCATGCGGCTAATAGGCGTGCGTTGGCATTCGGATGTGCTAACAGGGGAAATGACATTCCTCGGCGAGGTGAGCTAAGAGAAGCACTTAAACTGGAGCGACCGACAACTGACGGCCATTCGGGCCACGGCGGTCCGGACGGCGGGTTCGAGCTCGCGCGCGGCCGGAGAGGAAGAAGCCGCCACGGCGGCTGCCGCCGCGGCAGCCGTGCCAGCCGCCACCGACGTCGACCGGGCCCGACGCAGGGCAAAGGTCGTCTTGTCGGCTCCCGGGCCTGCACCGCTGCCGGCCGCCACCGAGACCGCCCCGACGCCGGGCCCCGATCCGGAGCTCGGGGTCAGGTCCGGGACCGGCAGGCCCAGCACCACATCCAGATGGTCCATGGCCGACACGGCATCCGGGCAGAGCTCCACCAAGCCGGCAGCCGGGGCATTGGCCGCGCCGGTCAAGTCCCGCTGCAGGGCCCCGGCCACCAGGCCCAACACATCCGGCCCGGGCCAGGAGCTGGGGAAGAGCACGCCACGGATGAAGCGTGCCTCCCGGCGGAGAGTCTGCCGGCAGGCCTCGGACGCCGCGCGTGCCGGGACCATGCCCCCGGGGAGGAGATGCCGCTGGCAGAGGGAATGGAAGAATCCCGACAGGAAGGCCGCATGTGCCGGGCCCCCGGCCGAGGTCTCCTCCCCGAAGAGGCGTTCGCACTCCATGGCCAGGAGATTCAGGGCGAAGGCCACCGACTGGCCGACCACCGCCGCCGCGGTGGCCGTCAAGGCCGGGCTCCGGCCCGAGGGGAAGATGTCCTGCACCGCGGCGCACACCAGGCCCAAGTGCGACACCAAGTCGATGGCCTCCCCGCGAATGGCGCTGTCGCAGGAGGAGTCCAGCCCGGCGGCGGCGGCGGCGGCGGCGGCGGCGGCGGCGGCGGCCCCGGGGGTGGCGGTCATCGGCGTCTCGGCCACAAGCCAAGCGGCCCCGGGGCCGGCCCCGGCACTTGCAGCGGCGTTGGGCAGCGGCGCCAGCAGCAGCCGATGCACCGACGAAACCACCTGGCAGTCGTAAATGTGCCGCGCCAGCAGCAAGCACACCAGGTGGTTGGCCCGGTGGAAGAGCTGCTGCAGGAGGCTGAGCACGGCCGCGGCCGGGGGGGCCCCGGCACGGCGGCGCTCCTGCGAATCGCCGGACCCGGCCGCCCTTGACCGCTGGACCAGCTGCCCGAGCACCGGGATCAACCGGTCCCGCACGGCCAGCGCATTGGCCAGGACCAGCAGCCGGCGCGGGAGCCCGGGCTTCAGGGGAACCTGGCTGCCGAAGCGCGTGACAAAGAGATCCCCCTCCGGGTCGAAGTCCCGCCGGCTGACATCCAACGCCAGCTGCGAGGAGCCCGACGGCCCGGGCCGCGGGGCGAAGGCC